GCATGATATGAGAGATGGATCTTGAAAGAATAGTTGCTTTGATCTTAGGTTCTGAGGGAAGAAAGATGGGGATAGAAAATTCCCAAAGACGGCGCCACTAAACTTGCGGTTGATTAGAACCTGGAGAGTGGCCGGAGGATGATATTCAGTCGGGCAGAGGAGAGGGGGGGTTGTACCTGCAAGGTACTCCAACGATCAAGTAAGAGTGGGAGCAAGAAGGTACTAACAAAATATCAGGTAGTGAGTGTGAATATGTGATACCTGGCCCTCACATGTGTGAGGGTTTATATACTGCCCCTGGTGCGTGGCCATTGGTTCCTGATTTCCTGCCTAGATATACGGGTCCGAAAAATTAGGTAACTGCCAGGACTTGGTCAAACCGGACAGATGTGTCCGTAAATAGCTGTTGGTTCTGGGGAGGAGGCTGGTTGTGTGCATCTCTCTGGTCGGTCCCTAGTGGTTTGTACGACGCTGGAGTCGAGCAGACTAAGAAGATGCTCGACGGGCATCTTGGATCGGAGCTGGATCAGAAGGACAAGAGGGTGGTATTGCCCGACAGGTGCGGACAATCCTAGTCACGGCCAGTGGGTGGCACCTATGAGATGTCTTAGATTGGGCCCACTCAAGCTTTCGGGCCAGTCCAGAACAACATCATGCATATATACAACCATCAGTAGTTGTAACAACATCAACATACAAACAACCACCAATAGTTATTGTATCAGCAACATAACCATCAGTAGTCGTGACATAAAGACAACCATGAGTAGTTGTCAACAACATCATTACAACCATCAATAGTTATAACATTAACACAACCATCAGTAGTTATGAAAGCAGTAATATTAACAGTAGCTATTGTAGAATCACAGAAGCATAAGACAACCATCAATAGTTGTCACACTGAATCCAAGAAAGCCTAGTCTTCCAATAGCCAAATAATACCAAAAAAATTCCTAAAGCTCACCCAATAGACAGACCAGGGTGCTTGCTCTGGTGCCAATTGAAATTTTGGCACTAATACACACATGTTCATACTGATGTTTCCAATACCAGAACATGAAGTCGGGACGAATGTTACGAAATTTATAGACAGACTGAACAAGCGTATCAGACTGAAATAATATGTAGAATTAAAAGCAGTATGATAAAAAACATATTAAATTGTTAACCCAGTTTGCTACAACATCACCTACATCTGGGGGCTACCAAGCCAGGAACGAAATCCACTATCAGTAGTATTAACTCTAAGCCTAAACAATCCCACTTTATAACTTATCACTTAATGCCTACCTAGTGCAACTTCTACCTAAGAACCTCCTATATATGAGAAATCACCATCTCACTTCTAATCACCGCAGTGATATCAAAGAATCTCAATCCCAAGGAATGTCTCAAGAAACCAAAAAGAAGATTACACTTTCAATATAAAAATACTTAGTCAAGACTCTTAACTAAGAACAATACTTGGTTTTGAAAAAAAGCTTCAACCAAGAACAATACTCAACTCATTACCTAAAGGCTTCTGAGTGAGAATATTATGACTACCACATGTATCAAAAGATTCAAGGGTGACTTACAACTACAAAGTACACAAGAAACTCTCAAAACCTAAACCCTTATTTTTATCTATAAATTAAAGAACTGATTTTCCCTAGGTCTTGGTCTTCCTTTTATAAGCTTCAGCTGTCCATGGACTTCGAATTCTATGCCAAATTATTCCTTGATCCATACGTTGATTGCTGCAGAAAATATCTCCTTAAATCTTGGAACAAATTTTCAAGTTTCCTCAATTATCTGAATCACCAAATTTATAAACTTTAATGATGTTGGAGATTTGATTCACTTGTTCTAGATTATATCTTTTTGACCTGCAAAAATAACTGAGATATATCCAAAAGGAATCTCAGAAAATAAAATCAAATCAGTCAAAAAAATACACAACAACCACTATTGTATAACAGGCCACAATGTCAAAACATCTGGCTTAACATCTGCAAAATAGCATGACAGCAGATTCTGCCATGACAGTTGGTCAAGATGTTATAAAATCTTGCCTAACATCAGTAAGAACCAAGTTTTAACAAAATTTAGCCAGTCACAACAACATGGATCTAACAGGAAATATGAAATATAGACAAGTATTTCGTTACTTAACTCATATTGGTAAGTGACTTTTAGAAATTATGACAAAAAAATTCGAACCTAGTCAGACTCGGCCACACGCGCCTCAAATCTAATGAAAAAAGCATATATAATTAGATACGGGGACAGGTGGAGGAAAAACTCAAATTTTAATTACAATTACGTGGATGGGGAAGAGGAAATCCATTCTCTATTGGGAGCAAAAGCGAATGGTCAATTATACTCCCAATTGAATTTGGGAATATGACGACACTAATCCATGGAGGTGAGGGCGAGATTTGTAATAGTTAAACCCGCCCTATTATCATGGCCATGACTAGTGACTTTGCTTATTCTTTTCCTTTATTAGTTTTTTTAAAAAAGTTACTCCCTCCGTAACGAATTATAAGCAAATTTGACATTTTTGGTATATTTGACAATTAATGTATGTAGTCTATATATGGACTACATACATATGTCGTCAAATGTACCAAAAGTTAAATTTGCTTATAATTCGTTACAGATGGAGTAAACCCTTCTAAAGTTTATCCATTTAAAAAAAACCTCTTCCTATTGAGTAACATACTCCATCCGTAACGATTTATAAGCAAATTTGACTTTTTTGGTACATTTGACAATTAATGTATTTAGTCTATATATAGACTAGATACATTAATTGTCAAATGTACCAAAAAAGACAAATTTGCTTATAAATCGTTACAGAGGGAGTAATTGACCCGTCGTTTTCGCTCATTTCGCTTTATAAAAAATGAAATTCAATCCCGCCTGGGATATTTTGTGAGCCAACTGCAAATAGAGAGTGTTGTCTTTGAATCGATGTTCTAATACAATTTTGATCCTACCAAATGTTGCTTGAATTTCATTATGTTGGTTTTAGAGCATTTGGTCTACCGTGTCTCATTCTCTACAAAGGTCTCCCTTATTATCATCCAACCACTTCTTCAACACTGCATGTGTAGATTCCACTCTATTAGTTGTTGTGTTCCCCAAATGTTTAACACAGTCTGTCCAAGCACATATAACTTTCTCTCTCACCTAATCAAGGAAAGTTGACTCAACGTATTTTAAGAAATTGGGATATTCGACACACAAGTTCCTGAAGTGTACCACATTCTCAGCATACAGCTCTCTATAGCATAGTTAAGAATATTAGTCCATGCACCCATTATCTTCTCAACCACAACACCGAATTTGACCATGTTTTCGTCTTCACCCTTTTTTTCTTTGGTTCCAACTACGGGTTTGAGTCGTGCTCTCACATTTTTTGTTGTATGATACTGACAAAGTAGTGCGGTTGACGAAGGAAACACAATTCCAACCATATTCATAAGGGTGTTATCTCGGTCGGTAATAATGACCTTAGGCATATTTTGTGGATCCTTCAGCAAAGTCTTGCATATACCCAACACCCAAGTGATGTTGTCTTCTTTCTCACATTCCAAAAAAACAAATCCAACCGAATATGTCTTGTCCGTAGAGGTGACGTCACCAATTTCTAGAAGCGAACGCCTGTACTTGTTGGTCTTGTACATCGAATCAATCATAAGGATGATTGGAAATGTATTGAACAATTCAATACTTTCTAGATGTGTCCAAAAAAAGTCACGAATACTGACTTTGTCCTCACAAATTATGTACCTGGAAACGTAGTGGTTATCGTCCAAACATTTTAATAAATGTTGCATTTCAGACCTTAGACCTATTTGTGCAATTCGTTGTTTATAACGATGATTATAAACCGACTTGATATTTGAAACACTTTCCGGCTTATTGCGTTTCAAACCGGCAAGAATGTTTCTCGGTGCAACTTTGATAAATGATAATTCAAAAATAAATTCCTTCTCTACCGTCTTAAGTCGACATACAATTGGATACCCATGTAGCTTGATGTACGTAACTTTTACGAGAGTTTTGACAATATTATCGGGGTGCATCATACCTAACATGTTAAAAAAACATTAACATGTTAAAAAAACATGAATTATGTTAAAACATAATTCTGGTTTTGTAACAAACATTATTTCGGATATGCACATCCAAATTATGGTAGGTTGAATTCGAAAGTGCATATCCGAAGTGATGATGTTTTCTTCTTCAACAAATCAACTTCAATACATGAAATGTATAATGAAATAATGGAAGTTTACCTCAAATTGCAGCTTTCTATGCTCTCTTTGGTATAGTCAAACACTTGAAAATTGATTTGGAGACGAAAAATCTATTGAAAACGATTGAAGGTTTATGAGGGTTTTGGTTATAGAAGAATAGAAAATGAATGAAATAGTTAGAATATGTGATCATGCAGTATTCTAATATAAAAATGGTGGTTTCGAAAATACACTTTCGAACTCACCTGTCAGCATGTTTCAGATGTTCATATCTGAAACTATCTCAAAGATTTCAAATCAAACGTTTAAGTATTAAAACGTAGAAATATAATATCTTTGAAGATGCACATCAAAAACATACTAATAGACAAATTCACAAATGCATTTCCAAAAAATATTTTTAGATTTTCAATAGACCACCACTACTAAGTTGAAAAAGAAATTCACTTGAGTTTAGGGTGAGTCAAAGCAACAATACTTAGTTACTCTAAAAAAACTTCAAGCCCAAAAAATAAGAAAAAACAAGATCATATCTACACGTTGGCACATTATCATTTTGTGGGCCATAGAGAATTTACCCATACTAATCATCATTAATTTCATCTTTTCTATTAATTAATCATCATTAACAAGAGTGTGTGAGTGTGTGAGAGAGGTTCGGTTCTTTACCTTTCTCCCAAAATTCACACTCAAAACCAAACCAAGTTTCGAACTTGAACTTCAATTCACGCTCACAAACCAAAACCCATGTCCTATCACCATGAATTTCATTCAGCTGAAGATGAATTTCTTGAAGATGTAGATAATCAAGAACAACTTGATGGTTCTGGTGATGGTGCTGATGATGATGTTGCTCTTGATGAATATGAAATGGTTTTTTTTTTTTTTTTTTTAATTTAGATTTTGATTTTGCCCCTTTTGAATTTCTTAATTTTTGTATCAATTTTTGTTGTTTTTTTGTTTTGGTTTTGAAATTGATGGATTTGATTGGAACAGCTTACTAAGGTGACTGATACATCAGCTGCACAAGCAAGGAAGGGGAAGGATATTCAAGGGATTCCATGGGAGATGTTGAATATTACAAGAGAGAGTTATAGGTTGACTAGGCTTGAACAGTATAGGAATTTTGAGAACATTCTCACATCTGGAGAGACTGCAGACAAGGTTTTGTTTGGTGTTTTTTGTTTTGAGTTTTGTTAGTTTTATAAATTTGTTTGAGGCAGTGTTGTCAATAGTGGATATAGTATAGTATAGCCGAATTTGAACAAATTGATATCTATGAAGCACGGACACACACACCTGACTCGACACCGGTAATAATTTGAAAAAACTAAATAAGTTGAATGTAATCAAAAGTGGTGGGGTCGTGTCCGACACTGAAATGGACACAAACATAAATTTTTTCAGAGGTGTCGGTGTTACGGGGATTGCTATTGTTCCATGGTAATCACGCTATTTAGTAGAAAGTGTAGGGTTGTAAAATTGATGCTATTGCGGTTGCAGGGTTATAGCAGTTGTAGCGTAACATGATCCGGACTAACTTATATTTTTTGTGATTCGGGATTGGAAATACTGGGTTGAGGTTGTTGGGAGGTGGAGAAGTGGCATAAGAAATTGTTTGATAAATGTTTTGATACTGAAAAAGTCTTTGTTTCTTTGTTTGGTGTTCTAGGATTGCAAAGAAGTGGAGAAGGGGGACAGATACTATGAATTCTTCTATAATACAAGGGTGGTTAAGCCTACCATCCTTCATTTTCAGGTTTGTTAGAACTTTTTTTATACGCTGCTCGCACTGAATGATTTCTTATGTCACTATGTTGATGCTATAGCGTAGCAGTTTTTGTTGAGCTGGATTTGAAAACTGTGACACAATCCGAATTTGCCTATTCAGGCAATACCGGCTTCTATAGTGTAGCGGTTTTTGTTGAATTGGCTATGAAGATTGCAATGCTATTGTATTTTGCCTATTCGGGCAATAGTGTAGCGGTTTTTGTTGAATTGGCTTTGAAAATTGTGACGCTATCGTAGTTTTCCTATTCGGGCAATAGCGGCTTCTTAGTGTAGCGGTTTTTGTTGAATTGGCTATGAAAATTGCGATGCTATTGTATTTTGCCTATTCCGGCAATAGCGGCTTCTATAGTGTAGCGGTTTTTGTTGAATTGGCTATGAAAATTGCAATGCTATTGTATTTTTCCTATTCGGGCAATAGTGGCTGCTATTCCAATTTTAGTTATCAGGTGTAGAAGGTTTCGAGTAAAAGCTTTCGTGATTCGGTCGGAACAGGTGTTGTGATAGTGATTACAGTCGCAATGTGAATTAACCACAATTCATCATATGAGCAGTGAATGACGGTATCGGTATCGGCACCTACCGGCGCCGCTTTGTCGTGTCCGTTTTCGCGGTAACGGATCGTTTTATAAAGCCTGCGGGAAAATTATAATTTTGGGGTTTTTAGGTAATAAAACTGGAGAGTCAACATGTATGCGGTGCATGAACTATTTTTAAAATAGAAAAACTGAAGAGTCCGCGAGTTGATAAATATGCAAGTTATGCTGTCTGCATTCCCTTTTTAATTTATATTCAGCATGCCTTATTTTATATACATTTGACTTATTTTAATTGGTATGTAAGGCTTTCGCTATTTTCCCGCAACGCAGTCCACTATTTTACATAGCGGAGTTTTTTGCATTCCTGTCTTTTCCACAATCCGGTATTGATAACACGGGTTATTAGTCTTTTTTGAATGACTCACAAGCATTTAGTATTGTTTCATGAAAGTATATATGTCTTGAAGGTTGAAGTTCATGCATGTATCTATGATATATGCTAATTTTTGCAGTTGTTCGTCATCGGTGATTGAACAAAATGTTGTGGCTTGTGTTGTGTGATTGTTTTGTGTTGCATTGCTGCACTAGAGACAACAGTTATCTTTCTCTCTATATAGTTTTCAAGCCTGATGACATGTTTTTTTTTCTTTCCGCGGAATGCAGCTGAGAAACTTGGTATGGGCTACTTCAAAACATGATGTATACCTTGTCTCTAACTACTCAATCATGCACTGGTCATCATTAAGTGGCAACTTGTCCGAGATTATAAACTTTTCTGGGCATATAGCTCCTACCGAGGTAATGCAGACCCGTCTCTTGCAAAATCTTGTCCATCTATAAAGAAAGAGGTGTGAGAACCTATTTCAAATCGATATTTTCCATGATCCACAACTCTGATGGATGCAAGACTTGTTCAGAAGTCCAGAATTTCTGAAGCTGTTCAATATACACGTGATTAATGTAAACGGAAAAGTTAACATGGTCCGATTGAGAAAATATGCGAATTAGTATTAATGTTATATTTGTTTGGTCTTTTAGCGATGTGCGGGAAATCAATTGGAAGGATTTTCACAGACACAGATTAGCACTTTGGCTGTTAAGGATAATTTTCTTGTTGCTGGTGGCTTCCAAGGAGAGCTTACTTGTAAGGTACGTATCACATACTTATTTCTTTCGGCTTCTGATACTTCATAAGATTGCTTTATGTATTTTTTTCGAAAATTGCCCGTTTTGTATGTTTTCTATTCTCCCTTCTATTGATCGACCGTCTTTTCCCCCTTCCGGTTTTAACAGCACAAAACATGACTTATCTTTTTAGACTTGCAGATCGAATCGGTGTTACAATAAATAAAATGGTGCAATACAGTTAAAGGGCATAATGAAAGGCAAACATAGAAAATCCCCAAAGAAAAAGAAACAAAATCTGACAATTAAAACTATTGGTACAAAAAAGTTTCAAGCTTTATATATTTTATTAGTTCTAAATCTATGCACACAATATTTAATGAGAAACATAAGAATAAAGAAGCTATTTCAAAGCTCGTAATTGAATTTTTTTCATTTTCTTGTTTCCTTTTTCTCGATTTTTAGCTTTTAATCCGACCTGTTTATTCGACAAGGTAGGCGGCAATGTTGTTAATTTTTATAGATCGGCAAGGTTGATATTCGTGAGTAGCGATGAACGTTAGGAACAAATCTTCTTGCAGAATATTATCGATTGAAGCTTATAATATCTATATTGAATGCAGCGTTTGGACAAGGAAGGAGTAAGCTTTTGTACGCGAACTACACATGATGATAATGCTATAACAAACGCAGTTGAAATATATGAAAGCCTGAGGTATTTCTCATACTATCTGTACCCAACTTTATTTTGTCTAAGTTTGGAATGATGTCTGACACGGAAACTTTTGTAGCGGTGCGACTCATTTTATAGCTGCTAATAATGATTCTGGCGTTAGAGAATATGACATAGAAAAGTTTCAGCTTTTGAATCACCTGCAATTCCCTTGGCCAGTGAACGTAAGCACTCTTCGCTTGGCTTTTAAAAAATATTTGTGATTTTAATTTCACATATATCGTCGTGATTAGGGAATATTTACTCTTGATGCAGCACACATCGATCAGTCCTGACTGTAAACTAATGACTGTTGTGGGGGACAACTTAGATGGACTGCTGGTGGATCCTCAAAATGGGAAGGTATATGGTTCCTCTCTCATCCATTTATTGTATTTTTTATTGAGGTTTAGTCAATAGCGTCGCTATCCGGCTATAGCAGAGCAAAGGCCGACAGCTATGAGAAGAGCTTTAATGGTGCAGAACACTAGCGGCCGAAATGGAAAATGTTTAAAGGGTAATTTTTCTCTTATGAAAAACCAACAAAGAAGCTTCCAATTAACATGTTTGAGACTTGTTTAATATTTTGTAGACCATCGCAACTTTGACCGGCCATCAAGATTACTCGTTTGCATCTGCATGGCATCCTAACGGTCACACATTCGCAACCGGGAATCAAGACAAGACATGCAGAGTATGGGACGCTAGAAACGTATCATCTCCAATCGCCATTCTCAAGAACAACCTCGGGGCGAGCCGGTCGATTCGGTTTTCATCAGACGGAAAGTACATGGTCGTTGCTGAACCTGCTGATTTCGTGCATGTCTATAATACAAATTTGAATTACGAAAGAAGTCAAGAGATCGATTTCTTTGGCGAAATCTCCGGAGTTTCAATAAGTCCTGATGATGAGTGTATGTATATTGGAATATGGGACAGGACTTATGCTAGCTTACTACAGTATAATAAGAGACACTCATATCATTATCTGGATTCTTGCTTTTGATTTTTTTTCTTACTTTTGGATTGATGTTAATTCTATAGAGCATTGTGGAATTATAGATACTTTATATTTTGGTTTTGGTAGTATTTTTTTTGTGTAGGTCATGTAAAACAGGCCTCATGTTGTATTTCTAAACTTTTGATATAAATGCCACCAGAAAAAAATTGGGAAGTGTTTGGTTATATTGTTTTATTATTTCTTTAAATAGTTTTATACTATAGCAAAAGGTGATAACTATGATTGAACAAATAAAAATATTGTTTATATATGAAGTACAAACACTGAAACAAACATAAGGACACGACATGAACACTGCAACGCGGATAATTTTATAACTAAAACCGAAAGTTTTAATGTAGAAATTTTTAGTATACATATTGTTGATATTTGTAAATATATAATGTTAAGAATGTTTGTATGTAGAATAGTCTCACATCGATTATATAGTGTAATTAGTTCTAATCTTTCTATATATAATAAAGTCTCCGTAGTGTTTTTATAACACACGGTTTAACCTAAATGTCTCTTAGTCTCTCCTAATTCAATATGATATATAGAGCCTTCTAAGAGACAATTCTTTGTCGTGTTTTACCCGGTTGATCCACTGTCTTCCGGTGAGAAATTTTCTTCTGCAAACTGTGTCATCATTCTGGTTTGCTTCACCTTTTTTTTTAAAGAATTTTTTCCAGCGTCCTCTGTCAAGCACAGTCCACGAGAATTTTTTTTCGGAGGACTATTGTTCACCGACGCTGTCACTGTTCATCGACGCTGTCACTGTTCACCACCGCCACTGTTCACCGCCGCCATTGTTCATCGGTGCCGCTACTGTTCACGAAGAAAAAAAAATTCTCGAAAAATCGCCTTCCACCTCCGGTTCCAGATCCGCCCTCCGTTTTTTGTTTTCGACTCACAAAAAGTCGTACTCTTGTTCAAATAGTCCCAGTTGTTGTGTTTTAAGCCATGAGAGATGCTGATTCTATCTCGTTTACTAAAGTTCCACTTATCCCATGTGAAAAATTAACCGGATCAACCAACTATAACATATGGGCTCGTGCTGTCGAGATGTTGTTTCACGGTCAAGGATATGAAGAGCATCTAACCACCCAATTGAGTGATGTTGCAGCCGTCAAACTCGCTAAATAGAAGAAAACTGATGCCTCTTTGTGTATTATATTATGGTTTTCTATATCACCTAACCTCCAAGCATAGTACCAAGCATTCTCCACTTGTTATGAGGTGTGGCAAAAGGCCAAGAAAGTCTTTTCCAACGACGTTCATTCTCTATACAGTGTCATCCACAAACTCAACACACTAAAGTTGAAAAATATGGATGTGCAAGCTTATTTGAGTAAGCTTGATGCTTTGAAAGCAAGTTACGCAACCCTCATGCCTTACGCAAAAGATGCAATAGCTCACGCCGAACAACCGAGTAAATATTTCATGGTCATGGCACTTAAAGGACTACCATCAGAACTCGAATCTATTCGTAACCAGATTTTATCAGGTACTACTGTTCCTAACTATGATACAGTTAGTGAACAATTGTTGCACTTGGCTACACCTCATGCGTTTGGCCCAGTTTATCCTCCATCTATTGTTATTCCAACACCAGGTGACGCTGCTGCTCTTGCATCTCTTGGCAACAATCAGAATCGCCTTCGAAGAGGGTCATCCAACTCCAAACCTCGTCCTAAGTGTGACCATTGTAACCGGCTTGGACATACTATTGATCGTTGCTGGAAGTTGCATGACAAACCTCCACGGCAAGTAAATGCAACTCAAATTGATAATCCAGACACTATGCAGACTTCGCCTTCTCTTCAGAACCCTACGCCAAGCTACGAGGATTTTCTCAGGTGGTGTCAGACTAACCAGACCTCTAGTTCCACGACTTCAATTGCACACACTTGTAATTCATCTGTTTGTGTCTCTCAATCATCTCCTCTTGGTCCTTGGACCCTCGACTCTGGTGCGTATGATCATGTTACCGGTAATAAAAATCTTTTCTCTTCCCTTTCTACCTCTAGTTTCTTACCGAGTATAACTGCCACAAATGGTTCTCAAACCCGATCCCAAGGGATCGGTACTATTCAAATTCTACCATCTCTCTTTGTTACTTCTGTCCTATATATACCTAATTGCCCATTTAATCTACTGTCAGTCATTCGTTTAACTCGTTCCCTTAATTGTTCTATCACTTTTACTAACAGTGATGTTATTCTGCAAGATTGAAGTTCGGGACAGACGATTGGCGTCGAATGTGAGTCTCAAGGCCTCTACTACTTCTCTACGTCATCTACCACATGCTCCACCACAGATTCTTCACTCATTATACATGCGCAGTTAGGTCATCCAAGTCTTCCCAAGCTACAAATGTTGGTGCCCAGTTTATCTAAATTATCCACTTTACAATGTGAGTCATGTCAATTAGGGAAACATGCTCGTAGTCACTTTCCTGATCGATTCAATAAACGGGTTGTGTCCCCTTTTGCTTTAGTTCACTCCGATGTTTGGGGTCCATCGCGTATTGTGTCTACTTTTGAGTCTAGGTATTTTGTAACATTTATTGATGATTTTTCACATTGCACGTGGCTATTTTTAATGAAAAACATATCTGAATTATTTTCTATTTTTGAACAATTTTATCGAGAAATAATAACTCAATTTGGTTTGTCCATTCATACCTTAAGAAGAGACAATGCACGTGAATATTTATCCCAACAATTTCAAACTTTTATGTCATCCAATGGTATTCTACACCAAACATATTACCCTCATACACCTAATGAAAATAGGGTAGCCGAACGCAAAAATTGGCATCTCGTAGATTCATTCGGACTCTAATTCTCCATGGTAATGTCCCTCTCAAATTTTGGGGGAATGTTGTGCTCACGGTGTGTTATCTCATAAATCGCATGCCCTCATCTGTCCTTAATAATAAAATTCCTTATTCAATCTTGTTTCCAAACTCTCCTCTTCACCCAATTCCTCCTCGAGTCTTCGGGTCTACATGTTTTATGCATAATCTCTCCCCTAGTCTTGATAAACTATCAACTCGATCATTAAAGTGTGTCTTTCTTGGTTATCATTGATCCCAAAAGGGTTATACTTTCTACTCACACACTCTGCAACGATACCTGATATCAGCCGATGTTACCTTCTTCGAGTCTGTGCCATATTTTGAATCCATCCAAGTCACTCCATAACCCCTTCAGGAAAGTACTCATACACCTCTTCCGGACGTCCCATTTTCCATTATTCCCCATCATTCTAGGGAACCTGTCCCAAGAGAAACCCCTATGGTTGACCCCCTAACTTCTCGCTCACTTCAAACATATCAGCATCGTAAACCAATGTCTGTCATACCTGTCCCTGAGGTTGTACAAGTCCCTGAGGTCGTACCTGTCCCTGAGGTCATTGAAGACTCTCCTCCGATGTTATCGCCATCACCGGATTCGATCCTACAACCTGAGTCTGATCTTCCGATTTCCCTTCTCAAAGGTATACATAAAACACGAAATCCTTCTCCACATTATATTGATTTATGTTATCATCGTCTTTCCCCTTTGCAGTATACTTGTTTGTCCTCTTTGTCTTCTGTTTCTATTCTTAAATTTCCAGGTGAAGCATTATCTCATCCTGAGTGGGGGAAAGCAATGATTGATGAAATGCGTGCTCTTCAAAGCAGTGGTACCTGGGAACTGGTTCCTCTATCCACTGGAAAATCTTTAGTAGGTTGTCGTTGGCTTTATACAGTGAAGGTTGGTCCAGATGGTAAGACTGGTCGTTTTAAAGCTCGCTTGGTAGCCAAGGGATACACTCAGATTTTTGGGTTGGATTATAGTGATACCTTCTCGCCTGTAGCCAATATGGCATCTGTTAGACTTCTTCTAGCCATTGCAGCCATTCCACATTGTCCTTTTCATCAACTTGACATCAAAAATGCATTTTTACATGGTGATCTTGAAGAGGAAAGTATATATGGAGCAACCACCTAGGTTTGTTGCTCAGGGGGAGTCATCGAATATGGTTTGTAGGCTACACATGTCTCTTTATGGTCTTAAGAAATCTCCGAGAGCTTCGTTTGACAGATTCAGCACTGTAGTACAATAATTTGGTATGGTCTATAGTGAAGCTGACCATTCTGTCTTTTATCGCCACTCAGTCCAATGGTGTATTTATCTTATTGTGTATGTAGATGATATTGTCATAACTGGTAGTGAGTCGGGAATACTCCAGTTGAAACAACATATTTCAAATCAATTTCTGATAAAGGATCTTGGTAAACTCCGATATTTCTTGGGTATTGAGGTAGCCCAATCTAAAGATGGTTTGGTGATTTCTCAGCGGAAATATGTTATGGATATTTTGGAAGAAACATGTTTGTTGAACGCTAAACCAATTGATACTCCTATGGATCCAAGTTTCAAACTACTATCCAATTAGGGGGAGCCTCTATCAGACTCGGGAAGGTATAGGAGATTGGTTGGAAAGTTAAATTATCTCAGTCACTCATCCATACATTTCTTTTGCAGTCAGTGTGGTAAGCCAGTTTTTAAATTCCCCTTGTCAGGAACACATGGATGTTGTTATCCGGATTCTAAGATACATCAAATATGCTCCATGAAAAGGTTTAACGTATGAAGATAAAGGACATACTCAGATAGTTGGATACTTTGATGCTGATTGGGCAGGGTCACCAATTGATAGACGATCCACCTCTAGGTATTGTGTACTTGTTGGAGGAAACCTTATATCCTGGAAAAGTAAGAAATAAAATATAGTTGCAAGATCAAGCGTTGAGGCAGAGTATAGAGCCATGGCAATGGCAACATGTGAACTCATTTGGTTAAAAAAGTTGCTCAAAGAACTTAAAATTGAAGAAGCAATATATGAAGGGTGAGAAAACACTTAGAAGGGGGAGGGGGTTGAATAAGTTTCTCTTTTTCTTTTTCTTAAAGGCTCAACAATAATGGAAAGACACGGTTATTTTTATCCTGGTT